CGCTACCATCTGGGTGCTGAACCTGTGTCCTCTGCAAGAGTAACCAGGGCCCTTAACCACTGAAAAAGCTCTCCAACCCCATTTGGAAGATTTTAAATTATTCCTGCAATGTGACTGCTTGTTATAAGTCTGTTCAAATTATTTGCCCCATCCTGGTTTAATTTTGTTAGCTCATATGCATTCAGAAATTCATCCATTTGTTTTGGATGTTTCAATTTAGTGGAATATATGTTTTCAGGGTAAGACAACGATTTTCTGAATCTCATTGTTACATTGTAATGTCCCTTTTTTCATCTTTCCTTTTATATTTGGGTCTTCTTTCTTTTGGTTAGTTTGGCTAAGGTTTTGACAGTTTTGTTCAGAAAACCCATTCTTTGTTTCATTGAGTCTGTGTTTTTATTTTGTCTCCCCTTTCATTAATTCTGCCTTGATCATAATGATTTTTGCCTACTCATTTGGAGTATGGCTTGTTCTTTTACCAGGGCTCTAAGGTGTATCACTAAATTGTTTTGAGATCTCTCTGATTTTCTAACATAAGCCTTTCTATCTATAAACTTCTCTCTTAGGACTGCGTTCATTACGTTTCATAGGTTTTGGTATATTGTTTTCATTTTCATTTGATTTCAGAAATATTTTTTATTACCTTCTTCTGATCCATAGTAGGGCACATTATCCATTGTGTGACTGGCCCAAATTCTTTTATTTCTTCAAAGACCCATTCATCATTCAATAGTGTGTTGTTTAATCTACACGAGTTTGTGTATGTCCTAGGGTTTCTCTTGCTGGTATAGTTTTAGTCCATTGCAATCAGGGAGAATGCAAGGAATTATTTCAAAATTCCTGTATTTGTTGGAATCTTTTGTGTTCTAATATATGATCCACTTTGGAGACAGTTTCATGGGCTACTGAGAATGTGTATTCTGCAGCATGTAGATGGATGGAACATGCGATATCTACTGTCTGTTTGATCTATGTCACTTAATTCACACATTTCTGTTTATTTTTGGATGTGAAGACCTGCCAGTTGGTGAGAGGTGAGTATCGAAGTCAACCACTACTATTGTGCTAGGGTTAATCACTGGCTTTATGTCTTTATTGTATTGTGTCTGTCTTTATAACATATTTTATGAAATTGGGTGTAGCTATATATATAGTATACTCAGACTGTCGTTAACAGGATTAGGAAGGGAGTGAGGAGGGTAAGGATACAGGTTAAGTATTACATCAGTTTTGAGAAGAACAATTTCAAAGTGGGTAAGAAAAGTAGGAGGGGAAAGTTGGGATACTGTTAGGGACCACAGATTTTAGGGACTGTTAAAGTATGCAAGGTTTTAATGAAGAAGTACAAAGAGAAGGGTATAAGGATGAGAAAGAAGTACAGGTGTGGGAATAGGGCAGAGCATAGATGTGGCTGAAGAGCACAGTAAAGAATGCCCCAATGTTAACTGGGTATAACATAAACAGCAGCCCCAAAACCTAACTGAGAAATGTACAAACTAAACAAAACCTTCATGAGACATATATGCAAGAGCAGAAATTAAATAATAGAGAATACATATGGGCTGAATTGCTTGCCCGGCTGCAGAGCTGAAAGGCGCAATTCTCAGATCTGGCTCTAGCTCCCTGTGGTGCTGTGTGCTACTCTCTCTCGGGTACTTAGGGAAACTCCTTGGCTTGGTCATTAGCCATCCGGAATGTATAAACCAAGTATTTCTAGTGTGAGAACCTGCTGGGTCCAATGGCTGCAGACCTAAGTGAAGCCAATGGTAGCTCCTAACAAGCAAAGAAGGGAAGCTCCGAAAGTGAATGCAGTGCCAGAGGGCAACTGATCCTCCACTGGTCTGTACTCTGCACAGACCTGAACAGTAGGAAAGACAACGGAACCCAGCTTCAAGTTACTCATTCTAGCTGACACCCTCCAATATTAAAGGACCCAGAAAGATGTTGACTCAATAGTATGTTTTTCTTTTCTTTTGGTTCTCCCTTTGGAAAAAAAAAATTGTATGTGTGTATACACGTGTTGTGTATGAGTGCAGGTGCAGCACATGTGGAGGTCAGAGGGCAACTTTCACAGGTGGATTCTCTCTTTCCACAGTGCTTTCCAGGACTAGAACTCAGGTTGTCAGGCTTGTGTGGCAAGCACTTTTACAAGCTGAGCCGTCTCACCAGCCGTTTGCCCTTTCTACTATATTTTTGGTATTACTTTTTGGGTTTTTTTGGTCTTTTTGAGACAGGGTCTCCCTGTAGCCCCAGCTAGGCTGTGTGGTAGACAGTCTTGAGCCTAGAGTGGAAGTCCTAATGACAGTCATACAGCAGGCCTGAGGCAATGGCCCAACCATTGGAGCCATGAGGAATGCCTTGTGATTACCACTCCATTTGGCAAGTTGTAGGGATGACACTTAAGGCTCACCACTCCCTAATTGCTACCCCTTGAAATTCCAGGTTGAGGTTTATCTACAGCTTGCAGGATGTGGGCAAAACAACAGCCATGGTCACATGATTTACTGGAACCTGGGCTGCCCATATATGGCATAGCCGTTGTATCCCTGTCTGATTGGTCCCGGAACCTGGGCTGCCCATATATGGCATAGTCATTGTATCCCTGTCTGATTGGTTCTGGGACCTGGGCTGCCCGTATATGGCATAGTAGTATCCTTGTCTGATTGGTCCAGGGACCCTATATAAGCTTGTAAATTCCTCAATAAAATATATTTGTGTCACTGAAACTGGTCTCCTGTGTCTGAATGCGGCTCCGCTGACACAGTCTCTTCACTAGGCCTGGGGTCCAGGATCGGGTGGTGGTGGCGACAACCGTGAAGGTGGACTGGATGGACTGCCGCAAGGCTGGAACTAGCTATGTAGACCGGGCTGGCCTTGAACTCACAAAGCTCTGCCTGCCTCTGCCTCCCGAGTGCTGGGATTAAAGGTGTGCACCACCACACCTGGCTTCCCTGTCTTCTTTATTTCATTCATTCACTAACTTTTAAGTTTTTAAAAAAATATTTATTATTTTTATTTTATGTGTATGAGTATATTGCCTGTATGTGTGTAAGTGCACCCGTGTCATACAATGCCTGCAGAGGTCAGAAGAAGGCGTTGGCTCCCCTAGAAGTGGACTTATGGATAGTTGTTAGCCACTGTATGGGTGCTGGGAATCGAACCTTAGTCCTCTGAAAAAGCAGTTAGTGCTCTTAACCACGGTGTCATCTCTCCTACACATTCTGTCATCTTTTTCTAGGGTTTTTGGTGGTGGAGTAAGTTAGCTTTAACCCCTCAAGAGAAAATTACTCACTAAGAACTATCAAATAAAAAGCAAAAAGGTATCATCCTAACAGATGTGCAAATTACATGGAACTACAACATGAAAAGCAAGGTAGCACAACGCTGCCAAAGGGTTCTAACTGCTCAACAGCTGAAGAGTCACCAAAATGGTTGAAATGCAGGACAAAGAATGCATCACTAGGTGAAGCTGAAGAAAGACTATCAAGTATTAAAGACCAGGCTAAGGAAATACTACATTCAGACACTGACAGGCAAAAATAGCAACAACCACGACCACGATATCCAAGAACAATGTCTGGAACAAGATCAAGAGCCCATACCGGAGTCCATAACATACAAGTTTCCAAGATACAATGTAAAGAAACAGAAATCCTGCTCAGTGAAACTGGCAGATTTCAGATGCTGACATAAAACAGACTGCCCACTAAGGACTCACACTGCTGCCCTGAAATGGCAGTTCTCAAACTTCATTTTCCTCATACTCAAAAATCACTTGGAACCCCAAAGAGCTTTTATGTGCCTACACCTATCTACAATTAGCTTGCCAAAAATCAAAACAGAAGCTGAGGCTGTAGTTCAGCAGTACGGCATCTGCCCAGGATAAAAGACACCTGGGTTCAATACCCTAACCTAAAAAAAAAGTGTTGAGAGAGGGCTGAGGAGAGGGCTGAGGACTTAGCTTGTAGCTTGGTGTAGATTACTTGCCTGGTATACATAAGGCCTTGGGTTGAATCCTTCCCCCCAGCAAAAAAAAAAAAAAGAAGAAAAGGAAGTAGGAGGGAGGGAAGAAGGGAGGGAAGAAGGGAGGGAAGGAAGGGGGAGGGAGGGAAAAGAAAATTTTTAAAAATTAACAAAACTTTTTGTTCTGTGGTGCTGGGATCTAAGCCACAGCCTTGTGTGCTCTAGGAAAACACTACCTCTGCACCACACTCCCAGCCCTACATCACAGACTTACAAACACTAGCCCTCCAAAAGAATGTGAGAAGAATGAATGATTCTATGATTCTGCATCTCTCTCCAGTGTTTGAGAACATATGGCTTCACAAAGTTAGAGAGTTGGAATAATTCACAGCTTTTTCGGATAACAGAATTCTTTGATTGTACAACCAAAACTGTAGGATCTTAAAGTTTTAGTCATTCCTCTGAAAAGAATCTCCAAAACTATGTTGAGTGTATGCCCCAAACTTAACAGGCCTCTGTTACAAGGTCAAGATGGCTCAGTAGGTAAAAGGTGCTTGCTGCCAAAGCTGAAAATTGGAGTTGATCTCTAGGACCCCTAAGGTGAAGAGAACCAACTACTGCAGGCTGTTCTCTGACTTTCCTACATCCATGGTGGGACACACGTACACTCACAGAATAAGTACATGTTATGAGATTTCTCTAAAGATTAGCTTTGTATAATCAGGATTTACATTCTCCTCCTTTCCTACCCAAAGCAGCTTCCATCTTGTCTCCCCTAAATCCATCAGGCCACAGAGGACAAGGCAGAAGATCTAGCCTAGACGAAACTCTGTATCTACAAGTTCAGGATCAATGTGAAATGGCCAGTTCCTTTATACTCCTAGGGCAAACCCTGCTCAACTGAATTTTAGAATGTTTTAAAAAATAGTTTCTCAGGTGAGACTGTGATTTTCTTCTTAATGAGAGCTTCCTTCTCCCACCAGGTTCACCTTACAAGGGAGTTTCTTGAAACACAGGTAGTAAAAGAGGAGTCAAAATAAAGAATATTTTTTATTGAATGAAGTTTTAATATTAATAAAAACAAGTACTTGACTTGGAAAGTCAAGCCTAAATATGAGCTACATGCAAACACATAAAACATTTCTATAATTAAACAAAAACTCTTTCCCCATGAAGGAAGATTACTGACAGGCGCTTATTTTCTCTCTTGGAACCTTGTGGCTGCAGGCTGTAAATACCCATTGCTTCCTTCACTGTTTCTCTGCCTTAAACCCACAAATCTTTCAGAAGCACATCAATGAGATGCTAGCTGGTGCTTGGAAAGAGAACCTATCCAGATCTTACATGTCCAGGGCCCAGTGGACAGGCATGTTTTTCTCCTCCACGCTGGCCACCATGTCTTCAATGGCTCTCCAGTCGAGCTTGCTGAGGATGCTGCCAGTGCTCTCAGACCTGCTGTCCAACGCGTCCCCAACAAAGGGGGTCTTGGGCTCGTCCTCTTCAGGTGGTGACAGATCCTGTGGAATTGGAAGGATAGTCATGTGGTCCATCAAAGAGCTCAAGGGAATGTGAGAAGCAGGGTGCTAGTCACCAAGCACATCTGAACTGACAAGAAGCTGGCCATCACCTAACACAGGTATTGGCATCAGATCTGATGGGTGGTCAAGATGGGTTCTGATACCCACAGGACAGTGATCAACTCTCAAAGTGTCTTTAAAAAACTTTTTAGATGGAGCCTCACTACGTAGCCCCAGCTGGCCTGGAACTGGATATGCAGGCCAGGCTGGTCTTGAACTCACAGAGATCGGCCTACCTCCCCCTCCCAAGTGCTGGGATTAAAGGCGTGTACCACCACATCCAGCCCGTTTTCATAGTTCTGAAAGTATAAATATACTGCTTAACAGAGATTTTTATAAAGGCACTAAAAATGTAGGGAATTTAAGACAAAAAAACAAATATTTCAAAATGACCTAGGAACCATTTCCAAGTGTTTTATACATATATATGTGTACACATGTACACACGTACACACACACGTGCACATAAGGCAGACAACAAAACAATGAAGAACAAAGCCCCTGGATTCTGGAAGAATGCTTACTCGTAGAAGGGAGCTGGGACTGTCATGGAGAATCTTGTGGACTTCTGAAGGTAGCGTCCAGGGACTCACCACTGTCTCCTCTCTCTCATACTCTATGCCCACCTGCTTCATCTGAGAAGCCAGCCCAGCACTGCTACGGTTTTTCATATGCTGCAGTCTGCGACATGGAATATTAGAACCTTTTGAGGGAAAACACGACATACATTGTAACTGACAGACCTATTCACTTGTGTATTTGATTGTGACCTTATTGTTAAAGCCAAGGCAGACATGCTTTACTTAATACTCAAGTCACAGGTCCGGATATGGTTCAGTGTAGAGTTCCAACAGTGTGTGACATGGACAGTGAACTCTTATCACCTCTTTTGATTTGAAAAGGTGATTCATCTCTGAGATAGGCATGGCTAGTGAGGAGAGGCCATGGCTTTAACAGAACTGTGGATAAGTCTTGAATTCAAAGTGGAGTGAACGCAGGCTGTGCTCTCCTTATTCTTAGGGAAGTCCCCTGGGCACTCTCTGGCACAATGCTTTAGTTATGTTCCCTCAGGCTTCATGCTTACAACCTTGCACTGGGCAAAACCTTGAGTGAGCTCAGCGCTAACACACAAGAGCCCTCTACCTCATCACTACTCATTTCACTTTCTGTAAAAAGAAACTTTCATTCCAGCTTCTGCTTGATGAACCCATCTATCAAGAGGGCTTCTCTGCACACGGCCCAAGAGAAGCTGGTCTGACCTAACACACTGTTCTCACACTCTGCCCTCACATTGGGACATCAAGATGGGCAATCTGGGAGGTAAACACAATTCTCCAAGAAGCAGTCAACTGGTACCTGAGAGAATTAAAGAGGTACAAGAGGGGCCTATTGTCTCTACAAACCATCTGTGCTTGAAGCTGAAGATATCTGGCAAGAAATAAACTAAAAAAAAAAAAAAAAAGTAACAGCTCACATTTGCAATTTGCCATGGCAGAGCACATAAGCTATATTTAGTTCCCTGATCTCACCAGCAGGCCCATGCTTGGTCTTTGGGTCCTCTCCCATAACTACACTAAGCCCAGCTGACGTCTAGTCACACGGCTTTATGTCACCAATGCTAAAAACTCCCTCAACCCTGCACCTGCAGTCAACAGAGCTTAAACTGGTTTCTAGATACTGTCACCTGGATATGTAATAAACCTTAGCATGTCCAAAGCCAAACTGTGCATTTTTATTTCTGAACTTCCATCATACTTGGAAATGCTCTAAGTAAAATCCTTTTGTTCTTTGCCCTTTTTAAAAAAATATTTTATTATTTTCTATTTTATGTGTATGAGTGTATTGTTTGCATGTAGGTAGGTGCACCCATGTCAAGCAATGCCCATGGAGGTCAGAGAGGATTTTGAATCCCCTACAACTGGAGTTACCAACAGTTATTAGCCACCACGTGGGTGCTGGTAACTGAACCCTGGTCCTCTGCAAGAGCAGTCAGTGCTCTTAACTGCTGAGCTATCTCTCCAGTCCCCTCATTATGATCATTTTATACATATACTTTGATCTAACTCGTCCTCTCCCCCTGCCTTCCTTGTGTCTTCTGCCCTCTCTGATTGGTCCTCTTCCCATTTCAGGTTACATGTATTCATTCCATTGCCCTCTTCATCCTTATAATTAGACATTTTAAGACTGATTTATAGTAACTTTTTTTTTTTTTTTTTTTTTGGTCTTTTTGAGACAGGGTCTTCCTGTAGTCCCAGCTGGCCTGGAACTCACTCTGTAGACAAGGCTGTCTTCAAACTCACAGAGATCTGCCTGCCTCTGTCCCCCAAGTGCTGGGACTAAAGGTGTGTACCACCATGCCCAGCTAAGACTGATTTATAATTATTTAAAATTTAGCATCAAACTGAAGGGCTTTTATTCTTTATTTATCCCTTACCGTTTGGGAAGTTAACTGGAGAATGCACAGCTGTCCTTACCACTGCCTTGGCTCTGCCAGCTCTTTTCTGTATGGTGAAAGTGGCAGTTCCTAAAAGGCAGACACTTTGGTGACCTTCCAGATGCATCCATGATTTCTTTTTATCATATCACTGTTATAGTTTATAAATGTGAAACGTTCCCACAGGCTCATGTCTTGAATGCTTGGTCACCAGCTGGTGGCACTATTTTGAGAGACTGTGGAAACTAAGAGGTAGGACCTAACTGGAAGAAATAGGTCACTGAGAATTCTCTGTCTCTGTCTCTCTGCTTCCTGCCTGAAGTGAGGTGCAGAAGCCCCACTACCACATGTTCCTGCAGTCATGTTCTGCCCAAGTACACTAGGCCAAGCAACCATGGACTGAACCCTCTGAAATTATGACCCAAAATGAACAATTCTCCTTAGGCTGTGTAAGTAGGCCCTGGTCACGGTGATGCAAAAGTAAATAGTCTTCATACAGTAAGTTCTCAGGGCAGAAACATCTTGACCAGGTCTGAACCTGCTCACCAAGCCCACCTTATTGTAAGGGTCCAATAAATGGTAGCTGATTTGCACTAGGAAAGCAAAACAAAAATGCAGACCTTTAAAGGAAGAGGGAAAACTTTTAAACTTGGTGCCCTTAAAGACAACTGTAAACGTTTTTCAAATGGCAAATGTATTCTGACAACAGCTCTGGCAACTGGCAAAGGCAGGGAATAAGCCCGTTAGAAGTAAAGACAGAGATGAAATGGCAAGTCAAATTTTATCAAGACAGGATTAAGGTTTCTTTTATTTTTATTATATGTGTGTTGTCTAATATATGTAAGTACACCCCTGTGTACAATGCCTGTGGAGGTCAGAAGAGGGTCCTTGGGAACTGGAGTTACAGACGGTTGGTAGCTGCCATGTGGGTGCTAGGAATCAAAATCTGGGTCTTCTGCAAAATCAGCCAGTGCTCCTAACCACTGAGCCATTTCTCTAGTCTCAGATTGTTTTCTTAAACTCAAAGATTAATAACAACTGTTTCCTATAGGTTGCACACACAACCTTTAGCAATTGTATAATGAATGGTTTAAAGAAAAAAAATTTTTTTTTTTTGTGGGCATGGGTGGATGAGCATCCTCCATGGCATGTGTGTGGTTAGAGGACAACTTATGGGAATTGGTTTTCCCTTTCTACCTTTGTGTGGGTTCCAAGGATGCAACATCTGGCTTGACAGCAAGTGCCTTTACATATTGAGTCATCTCACCAACTGACTTTTTAAAAAATCATTTATTTATTAGCCTGCCTACCTGTCTATTTGTTTATTGAGAGATGGCCACATTGCCAAGGCCAGCCTTGAACTCCTGGGCTCAAGTGATCTCTTGCCTTAGCCTACCAAGGAGCTTAGACTACAGTGTGTACCACTATATCAGAAAAGCTAGGTTTTATTTGTTTGTTTATGTTTCTGAGACAGGGTCTCAAACTTTGCTGTATTTAAGTAACAGAAGAAAATCCTGATATAGATAAATATCATTTTGAAATCAGAATTTCTTTACTAAGACTTTTACAGTTTTTAACTAAGAAATCACAACTTGGGAGACAAGAAGGAACACAAAGCACATAAGATAACACAGCTTCAAGTCTTACCGCACAGCCCAGCTGAGCCTTGAGGCTGCCCCATAGGTTTCCCCTTATGGGTATGACTTGATTTGAAAATAGGTCTGCCTCTTCCAGGTTGATTTATTGGAAGATTGTGCCCATGTGGAGTCTCTCTAAAGTAGAAATCACACAATTATTGAAAACGTTAATATTTCAAAGTCCCCCAAAGAGCCCAGGCTAAATGCTGTCTCAGGACTGCTTGTTCTGGACCTGAGCACTACCTTAACGTACTGTAGCCCGAAAATTACTCATTTCTCTTAAAAGTGAAAGCCAGCCAGGGGCAAGACAGGAGCACCCTGGGAAGAGGGGCGGAGCTGCCCAGGAGACGGAGAGTTAGTTGCAGAGAGTTAGGATTGGAACAGAGAAAAGCAGAAAAGCAAGTAGGGGGCTGCTGAGGCGAACTGCGGCAACCCCCAGGGGTATGGACACGTGATGGGACACTTAACGTGGGCGCAATGCATGAACGCTAATGGACACTGCCGGCGGGTTTGAATTTTATGTGGGTTCTGAGAAGCTGTTTCTTTGTAAGTCACTCCCTCTCAAAGTCATAAAACGGTACAAAATCCAAACTAAAAATGTCTTATGTTAGTCTGTGAGCCCTGGGGCCTCAGGGGGCGTGTGAGAGCCTCCCGAGAAGGGAAAAGGGGAAAATTTAGTGAACATATACCCCAAACAAATCGCTCTTCAAACCTTCTTCGTTGTTTTTCAAAGAAATTTTTAGCTACCTCTACCCATTTCAAGTTCTCCGTATACTTGGCAGCTTATTATGTACTTAATCCCATTTTATTCTAGGAAAGACTGTGGGAACCTCTGATATTCTGAGTAAAACCCGTAAGGATCTGCGTGTTTGGTTGTCATATGTAGGACCTTGGCAGTATTCTCTATTTAATAAATTCCTGCTGACTGGACTCATACCCAAAGCTCTGCGGGTGGTTGACATGAACTCTACAGTAATATGTGCCTTACTGGACAGGGAAGGAGGGAGCAGCAAGAGAAGTGTAAGAAGGTGGGACCACTGTTCCTGCCTGCCAGAGTGGACAATGGAAGGATGGGGCACAACTGGGAGGCAAATTACACAGAAGCAAATCTTCACAGAAACTAAAGAAAAAAGGGATTGAGCAGATACCAAATTTCCCATTTCAGGTATGCTAAAATGCTCTGTTGTAGCTCATTTAGAAATTTAATGCCATTTTTGCCCCTTTCCTTGTTGATTCTATACATTTATAGAGTTCATAATTAATGGGGCAATTTTTTGTCATGTTACCATCATAACTCTAGCTAGGGTAGATGCAGACACACTGAACTTGGGACACAAAAGTGCTACATTTGGGGCTGGGGATGTAGCTCAGTGGTAGAGTATGCGCTTAGCCTCCAAAAGGTCCTGGATTTGCCCGCACTGCATCAACACGGTGTGGTAGTGCACACCTGTAATCCCAGCACTCAGGATGCAGGATCATTTGTTTAAAGTCATCAATGACTACACAGCAAGTCTAAGTGCCAACCCTGTCTCAAAACAGACACACAAACAAACCGAATGTTGCATTTCTTCTTAGGCACACACACAGTGACAGACCAGACCTAGCTTACCTCGTTGGTGAAAGGCAATGCTCCTGTCCACAGGACTGAGCAGTATTGGGTCTGCCAGGCAATGCTTTCTGTGCAGTTGCTGTTAGTTGTACGGACTCAGACAGCAGTTCATTCATCAGACTGTATGCTTGTGAGATTCGCTGACTATAGTGGTCAGACAGCAGCAATCTTTGGACAGAGAATTAAATGTCATTTTCTCAGACTCACTTCCAGTTCATATTTCTAGAAGGAGCACATGCTTTTCAAATCCTTCTGGTTCATCAGGTTTTTCAAAATCATTGGACAGCATAGTGTATTATTAAAGGTAACTAGAGATAGGTGCACTGGCACAAACTATAATCCCTGCACTTGGGAGTCTAAGGCAGGAAGACTGTTAGTTTGAAGCTAGCCTGGACACATAGTGAGACCCTGACTCAAAAAACTAAGATGATGATGATGTTAACAACAACATAAGGTACTTGTAGTTATGGCTTGAGGCATTTCAGAAATACACTTGGGACTGGAGAGATGATTCAGTGGTTAAAAGCACTGACTACTCTTGCAGAGGACCCAGGTTCAGTCCCCAGCACTTACATGGCAGCTAACAATCATCCTAACTACTTACTATTCCAGGGATGCCCTCTTCTCACCTCCAAGGGCACTGAATGACATGGGTACAGTTACATACATGCAGATAATACATTCATACACATAAAATAAAAATAATAAAATACTGAAAAATAAAATAAACATACATATCAAGGTTAGGAAAGGGCGGAGAACAAAAGAAATAAAGCCATAAAAAAATCGAATAGCACAAGCAATATTTGAAAGCGAGCCTGATTACTTTCCTTAAAATGATACCTCCCATAACATTCTGTTTATTGCCAGGGTTATTGTGAAAAATGCAGTTCTTAGCCAGGTGTGGTGGCGCATACCTGTAGTCCCAGCACTTGGGAGGCAGAGGCAGGCGGATCTCTGTTACTTCAAGGCCAGCCTGGTCTACATAGTGAATTCCAGGCCAGCCGGGGCTACAGAGAGACCCTGTTTCAAAACGACCAAAAAAAAAAAAAAGAGAGAAAAGAAAAATGCAGTTCTTAAGGCACTGTCTGGACTGGGGGTAAGCAAGCTGGAGGGTATGCTGCAGGCACAGCTATTGCACCTACCTGTCCTTCTCACGCTTCATCTTCTGTCTCAGCCTAATCTGCCTTGAAGTCATATAAAACTGCCAAAGAAATATCCAGTTAGTTCACTGTGGTTAAGTCCAAATAATTAAGCTATTAGACATCATTCTGATATTTGTGGAAGTGCAAACAATGTTGTATTTGATAACGTTTTCTATCCTAGTGCAAAGTGTAAAAATCTTACATTAAAACACCATGTAGCATGGTGGCACACTCCTTTAGTCCCAGCACTTCTGAGGAAGAGACAGGCAGATCTTTGTGAGTTCAAGGCCAGCCTGGTCTACATAGTGAGTTCCAGGCCAGGTGGGGCTACAGGGAGACCCTGTCTCAAAAACAAACAGACAAAAAAACACCATATAATTTGTATTTGGGTGGCTGAAGCAGAAGAAGAAGGAATTCCAGGCTAGCCTGGGCTAAACGGTGAGACCTTTTTTCCCGCAAATCTTGTAAATTAGCTTACTGTGATTTACTTGTAAAAATGGGTGCGTTGGGACTGGTGAGATGGCTCAGTGGGTAAAAGCACGTGTCACCATGCTTGTGTTTTGATTCCTGGTACCCACATGGTGGAAGGAGAGTACCAACTCCCCAAAATTGTCTTCTGACTTCCACACATCATGGTAGATGGGCACATGGACACAAGCATAAAAAATATAAAAAATATAGTTTTAAAAATTTATGCAATAGAAGTAAATGAACAAAAGTCCATAGTTTCTCATTCTGGGACATTAAAACTTGCTGTAGGGTATTGGGGGGGTATGTGGCTCTGCAGCACACAGAATACTTGTTCACAAGTATAAGACTTGGGTTCATCCCTAGTACTGAGAGGGAGAGAGAGAGAGAGAGAGAGAGAGAGAGAGAGAGAGAGAGAGAGAGTGCATTATGGTTTTAAGTTACATGGCAGGTTATCTTTTCACATGTAAATATATTATTATGCATATAAGAAGTAAATTCACTTTCTTAAAGAAGCAGTCAAATTAAAAGTCTTACTGATGGCTGATAAAAATTTAAGTAGTGGACTGGAGATGTAGCTCAGTGACAAAGCGTTTTCCTAGCATGCACAGGGGCATGGGCTCAATCTCCAGTATTACACACAAAACTGAAATTTATTACGTTAATCCCTCACTAATCACATACCCTTACCCAAACATAAGCCAAAAATAAATCAGTGGGCTGGGAGATGATTCAGGGGCAAATGCACCAGCCTCGCACACCTGAGGACCCGAGTGCAAATGCAGGAACCGCATTATGAAAAACCAGAATACTAGATACAGTGGTGCACATCTGTAATCCCAGCACTCCTACAGTGAGATGGGGGTGGAGACAGGACTGGAGGGCCAGGTAGCCTAGACTAAATAGTTCAGTAGCAGCAACAACTGAAGACACCCTGCCTCAGCAAGGTGGGAGGTGAGAAACGACTCCTGAAAGCCGTCCTCTAACCTCTACAAACATACTAAGGCACACCATGCTCTCTCTCTCCCT